TGGATTGTGATAAGAGTTGTATGTGCCCTAATAAAATGATTAAAATATTTAAAAAGTAATAGCCTCATATTTCACTATCTTATTCAATAAATGTTTCCATAATTTTGTATCAATAAAACAGACAAACAAACAAACAAAAAAACAAGGAACCATCTAAGTGAGCTGTCAGCTAAATCCACCTGGAAGAAGCAAACCAGCCTATGCAATCCAAGGACTGTAAATAATAAAATTCAAAACCTAAGGATGGAACTGCACTAGGGCTTCAATGCTGAGGACCCGGTGTGCAGAGGACTATGGATGACATTGACAGCCTGAGTGCATGTGGAGGATCCCCATGAGCATTAAGACTCCCACGAACTCCATCTGACCATTGAGCAGGGATATGAATAGCCCTGCTATCAAACAGAGTACAGCGGAAAGTGGATTAATGCAGATGTAGTTAACGCTTTACCATTTTTACTCTCTTAACTCATTTTAAATTTGTTCAAGTTTTATTATTTTCTGCTCAATTTTCTCTTTTATTTTGTTATTGAATCTTTTATTTTTCCTTTATATGAAATCCAGGATAGGTAAACATATAGAGAAAATAACTATTACGTTTTTTGTAGGGTTATCACAGGTGAGTCTGGGAGAATATGGGGAGATAGTAATAATGGAGTACTAGAATGAAGAAAATATCCTAAAAATTGATTGTGGAGATGATTGCACAACTATTTTTAATATGTTTAAACCATTTAAATATATTTATTAATATGATTAATAAAGCAAATGTAATGAATAAAATTTATTAAATAGTGATTTATTAAATATATTTTATGGATGGCATGTCAATTATGTCAATAAACCTGTTAAACAAAAAGTGAACATAAATTCCAAAAGAAATTATAGGTAAAGAGGAAGGTGAAAGAAAAGGAAAAGTAACTTTCTTTTGTATTCAATACCTTTTAATAGTATTTGACTTTTAAAATTAAGTTTAAATATCACTCTGATGAAATTATGAGGATTTTGCATCCACAAGATATTTTTGTCATAATGGTATAGGATTCCAATTTATTTATGTGGTAATATAAAAGTAATTGAGCAGTGATATCTGGACATTGAAAAAGCATAATTAAAGACAAGGGAAAAAAAAGGCCTATGTCTCTATGGTTGTACCAATACCAGGGTATTTGACTATTGTGGCTTTGTAGTAGGTTTTGAGATTAGGAAGTGAGAGGACTTCTACTTTGTTCTTCTTTAGCAGTGCTTTGTTTATCCCAGGACTCTTTCCCTTTCCTAAAAAACTTGGGGAATATCTTTTGTATCTCTTTAAAGAATCATGTTGGAATCTAGATCAAAAATACACTATATCTGTATGTTTCTTTGGATAGTATTTTCCATTTGGACATTTTCAAAATGCTAAGTCTTCCTATCAATAAGCATAGTCTATTCTTCGAGTTATGTAGGTCTGTCTCTGTCTCCTTTGTAGTAGTGTTCTGTAGTCCACTTTGTACACATCTTTTATTTCTATGGTTTACTTATTCCTAAGTATTTCACCTTTGGGGCAATTACTGTAAATACAATTGTTTCTATGAGGTAGTTTTAATAATCATGCCTCATTCCCAAAACATTAGGGGTTGTTATTTTAAATTTCATTGGCAGGCCTAGTACTTACTCTCTAATCTTTACACTGAACTCTCAGCCATCTAACAATGGAAGGAGATTCAATGTTTCAATAATAAAAACAGAGAGGAATCAAGTCATTCTATGTCTTACTTAAATGTTACTATTAAAAAATAACCACCACCCCCCAAAAAAAATCCAGATTAAAAAAGAAGCAAAACTATCTATATTTGAGGATAACATTATCCTATATATTGTAAATACCAAAGAATCTACAAGATAGCTTCTAAAGCTAACAGAAAATTTATCAAAGTTGCAGGGTCCTATGATAACAAACTTCCATTGTGTGTCTACATACCAGCAATGAGAAATCTAAAAAGAAAATGATGGAAACAATTTCATTTAGAGTAGGATCTAAGAGGATTACATATTAAGGAATAAATACAACCAAGGATGCAAAAGGTTGCCTCCAGCCTCACTGTCATCAATTCAATTGTGACTCCTAGGGACGCTACAGGACAGAATGCACCTATGGGTTTCCAAGACTGTACAGGAATAGAAAGTCTCATCTTCCTCTCTCAGAGCAGCTGGCAATTTTGAACTGTTGACCTTTTGGTTAGCAGCCCAGTGTGTAACCCACTAAACCACCAGGGCTCTATGCAAAAGGTTTATAAAATGAAACACTGCTAAAGAAATTAAAGAAGACTTAAATAAATGGAAAAATGTTCGATACCCATATACTGAAGATTTAACATGCTAAGATGTTAATATACTCCAAACGATCTACAGAGTCAATGAAGTACAGGTAAAGAGTCCAACAGCCTTCTTTACAGAAATAGAAGGGCGCCCTCCCAATTTTATAATGAATTACAAAAGATCCAGAATGGGTAAAACAATATTGAAAGAGAAGAGAGTGTTGAAAGAAAAATCTCAGATCTTTAAAATCCACTGTTGTTGAGTAAACTCTGACACTAAAGAACAGAGTACATCTGCCTTATTGCTTTCCAAGGCTGAGATCTGTATAGAAAGACTGCCACATCTCCCCCTACAGAGGACTTGTGGGTTGGAAATGCCATCCTTTTAGGTAGCAGCCCATGCGGAACCACTTCACCATAGGGGATCCTTAAATCACATAAACCAATGGAATAGAACTAAGAATACAGGGGGAAATAAATAAATAAGGTCAATTTCTTAGAGTCTCTTCAATAAAGGATGTTGGAAAAACTGGGTTTCCACATGCAGAAAAATGAAACCTCTAATATGCATCATAAAGCACACAAAAACAATTCAAGATGTACTAAAGACCTAAATGAAAAAACAAAAATCAAATATCCTAAAAAGAAATTGGGTCTAGCTTGTAGCAATATATTTTCTCACATGATCTCAAAAGCAGAAAGAGCAAAACCCTAAATAAATGGAATCGCATTAAAAAGATTTGTTAATAAAAAGACTGCCAAAAAAGTGAAAAGGCAAAAAAAAAAAAAAAGTGAAAAGGCAAGTTACTAACTAAAAGAATATTTTCAAAACCCAACATTTTAAAAAATTCAGTAGGAATCTGAAAACATGTATGTGTGTGTGTGTATAAACTTAGACAACAAAAAGAGAAATAATCCAATCAAAAAGCAAGCCAAGGACTTGAAGAGATATTTTTCCCACACACAGGGGAACAAGTGTCCAAAAACAGGGGAACACGCTCCATGCCATGACCCAACAGGGAGATGTAAATCAAAACCAAAATGAGCTACCATTTTACCACCACAAGGTTGGCTTAAAAAAATTTTTTTTAAGGAGAATACAATAAAAAATATTGGCAAGGATGGTAAAAAACGGAATCTATTATCCATTACTGGTTAGTATGGGCTATTGTGGAAAAAACTTGATGAATGCTCAAAATAATAAAAATGGAACTACCAGAAGACCCAGCAATTTCCTTTATTTGCAAAAGTGATGGTAAGTCAAAATGTACTCTCTAAAATCATAGAACTTTTCATTAAAGAAAATTGTCAAAATGTGAAACTATTGTTTATTGGCTATCCCCAATTAGATCTACATACTTCTGAAAGGGATGTTTCCATCTCTCCAACCCATTCACTCCTAAATGATTCTGCATTCTTCGATTTATACCATACCAAAACAGCAGTTTGGCATCCTCAAGGGACTATTAGAGTTTGGGAGAACAAACAGAAGTCTGAAGGGGTAAGATCAGGGTTATAGAGTGACTAGGGTGAGATTTCCCAATGAAATTCTCACAGGACTGTCCTTGCTACCCTCTAAAAATGAGGTGGTACATTGTCCTGATGGAAGAAAACATTCTCTGGGCGACTTCGATGAACTCCCGTGTTACCTGGGATCATCCTCTTGGAAATCTTCCAGTTTCCATAACCTTCTGAGCTGCCCTTTCTCTCTAGAAATTAACTGGCCCAGTAAAACCTCTCAGAAACCACTGTTTGGACTAGACATTTTTAAAGGTACCCTAACAAGACTAAGATAAGTGAGGGTATGATGAGAGAATTTTTCAGCAGCCATTGTAGAGACATGTTTAAACATGTTGTTTGGAATAAACCCATGAATGTATGAACTGGATTCCAAGTAGAAATAGTTTTCTCTATGTACGTATGTGAGTGTGTGCATATAATTGATGTTGCTTCTCTAAAGATCAGATGGCACTTAGGGTTAAGCACTGCACTGCTAATCACAAGATTGGTGGCTCATATCTACCAGCCAATCCACAGGAGAACAGAGCACCCCAGAAGTTTGGAAAAGCAACCTCTCAATTTTGTGCACTGGCAAATGGAAGAAGGCTGGGTTTCATCCCAAGCAGCACCCTGGACTAGATATAAACCCATATATCTGGATGGACTTTTGTAAATTTGTAAAACACTCATCTGACTCTCCCTCCCCACAGCTTTACAAGGAGGGCAGGACGTATGTCTGTATTTTATAGATAAGGAAGTGGCACAGAACAGTAAGGTCATCATATACAGGTATCAGAAACAATAAGCAGCAGAGTCAGGGCAAACTTGACTTAGAGGCTAGTAGTGCTTCACATGGTTCTGATGCCTTTCTTGAGAGGGAGGTGAGGGAAGAGATTTCTTTAGATGTTATTATGTAATTGTCATGAGTGACCTCAACCACTTTGGACCAATACTCTAAATGCTAAACTTTAAGTCTCTAGATTTAAGGCCTATTTGAAAACTAAATACTTAAAAATGAAAATTCACATTTTACATGTTTGCCTGTGTCAAAACATAAGTGGAACAGAGATGTTCAGATAATAAAGAGAGCATCTTGTTCCGCCTATAGCTTAAAATAACTGAGTTAAGCAAGTAAAACTTGTGAGATTAAGGAGGGGGGAAAAAGAAGCAGCCGCACACACAATGTATATATGTCCAACTTACCTAGAAGTCTCTGCTTATTTTGTGTAGAGTCAGGTTCTGTCGAGCATTTGCAAGACCGGAGAACAATCACTCCCCCAAGCACGCCATCTTCACTGGCAAGGAAAGGTGAACCTAGACAAAAGTGACCAGTAGTCATTTTTAATTGAATTTTACTTTTTAATTTTTCATTTCTCAGTTTATTACTGGAACATATCTGTGGTATGAGTAAGATCTTGAAAGTTGTCCATTTTCTGACAATCACCATTGTTCCTACCATGTACAGACTTGATGGCAAAGGCAAGTTTAAGCCCGAGCAAGGGCCATTTGGCAAAGACAGTCCCAGATGCCGCCAAGAAGACTTGGGCCAGGGACTGAGTATGCATTACTATATTCATACTGGAATTGGAAACACTACTAGATTAAAGGACCAAAATACAAATATAGGAAAAAATTCTCAATAGCTGCCTTTGATCAGCTCTTAGGGATCACTTACCAGGCTCTCCCGCTGTCAGGGGCATGCCACCAAAAGCTCTGATTTACTACCTTAAATTAAAATTTAAACAATAAGCCACAAACTTTATTATAAACATTTAAAAATTCTCCTGATGGCTTACACAAATAAGGGTGAAACTCTATTTCTATTATGAGAGTCTGGTGGTTAGAAACAGTCAGGTCTCCTTGAGATCTCACACAGTGAACCATTGTGAACATTTTGAGAACATTACATTATAAAACCCCTCATTTTTCTTCCCCAAGGACATCTTCTTAGAACATCTGGCACAGCAAGTGAACACGTGGAAAACAAATGCAAAATTAACTCAAGCCCTATCAAAGAAAGTAGTAAAAATAAAAACCAACCAAATTAGATTGGGGGAGGAGGGGCACTTCTGGTTAAATTTAGTAGATTAAATACATGAATTTATCTTCAGTCCATTCCCAAGGTCCAAGAAATAGATGGGTTAAAAAAAAAAAAGAAGCAAAGAGACATAATCCAATGAGACAGAGAGAAGGGAGATGAAATGAAAGTTGTCCATTTTCTGACAATCACTATTGTTCCAGAAGAGAAAGGGAACCGACTTTCTGGAAAACTGAAAGAAAACAGACGAGTAGTTGCTCATGGAGCACACTCATGATGTCTGAAATCTAAACTTCATGGTGGGGCAGGCATGTAGAAAGGGGAGTATTATAAGTCATTGCCCAGTTCTACCACAGTCCCCCCAAAACTTCAGAAGTGGTTGGTTGCGAGCATCTAAAATGATATAAGAGATCAACTAAAATCTTCACCGGTCTAAACCTGAACCCTGTTTTCTGTATTGGCCACAAACTAAAAAATGTTTTTGTTTTTACATTTTGGAGCACCATGAAGAAGGAAGAAGAACAAGAATAAGAGGAGAATTAAATGAGAAGAAGAATGTTTGACAGAGACTATTATTGGATTGAAAAGCTCAAAATATTTATTCTGTGGCTTTTAACAGACAATGCTTGACAACCTTGGATCTATAGCCCCAGATTCCTGTCCAGAGGGAAAGTTATTTCTCCTCGCCGCAACGAAGTCAGAGTATTCACACTCTATCTTTATTGGACCAGAGGCTTGAAACTGCCAAACAAGTGAGCTGGGCAGGACGGAGACTCCACACTGAAAACAGAAGCACAGGCTAAAGTCTTCCCACTACCCAATTCAAGAACCAGCTCTAATCCCATGGATTCCCGGGAAGCAAAATATCTGGCTGAGGATATAAACCAAGTGGGAGACAGAACAGTTCCTATCTGGGGCTGTCCAACCATCTCATGACCGAAAACCTTTTTGAGATCCTAAAAAAATAGCTTCTCCTTCCCTGATGACCTTCTCCTTGAGGCTCCAGATGGCAACTGTTATTTACACATAGAAAGTATTCACCTTAACTGCTTGGTACTTAACTGTTTACATGTACAGATAACTTAGGATCACTAACAGTTTCAAGTAGGCTGCTGTCTTGGGAATGACACAGACAAAATCAAACAAAATTAACCCAGGAAAAATTTAGGCAAATGCACTGAACAGAATAAAACTCTTAAAAAGACAGAGGGGAGAAATGAAAAGGAGAGAAAATGACATCAGAACAAGCCAGAAGGTTCAATACCAGACCCAGATAACAGAAGAAATAGAGGGGAGAACATTTCAAACAAACAGGTTGTTGGTGACAGGTGCCATCCAGTCAGTTCCAACTCCTAGTGAGCTGACACACAATAAAAGACAACTGCCCGGTCCTATGCGATCCATCCTCACAAGCTACTAACTGTTCAATCTACTAAATGTATCCACCTTTGAGCCCATGATTGCAGTCACTACGTCAATCCATCTCATTGAGGGTCTTCCTCTTTTTAGCCCTATAACGCCAAGCGCGACATTTTCATAACATTTAATTAAATGTATATATTCATATACACATTGATAACTATGAAAGTAAAGAATAAAAACAAAAAAAATTTCCCCTAAAATTAAAAACTCAGGCATTATAGCATTAATTGACTCTCTATCACACATGATGTCCTCTCCAGGGAGCAGTCCCTTTTGATGACATGTCCAAAGCACATGATATGAAGACTCACCATTTTCAGTTCTAAGGAGATTGTTGGCTGTACTTTTCCAACACAGATTTTTTCATTCTTCTGACAGTCCACTTAAAATTCTTTGCTAACCAATAATTTTTTTCTTTTCTTTTTTTATATTGTTTTGCAATGTTTTTTTTAAATCATTTTATTGGGGGCTCATGAACTCTTATCACTATCCATACATACATCAATTGTGTAAAGCACATTTGTACATTCGTTGCCCTCATCATTCTCAAAACATTTGCTCTCCACTTAAGCCCTTGGCATCAGCTCCTCATTTTTCCCCTTCCCTCCCCGCTCCCCCTTCCTCAAACCTTGGTAATTTATAAATTATTATTTTGTCCTATCTTACACTGTCCGACATCTCTCTTCACGCACTTTCTGTTGCCCATCCCCCAGGGAGGAGGTTCTATGTAGATCCTTGTTCCCCCTTTCCACCCCACCCTCCTTCTACTCTCATGGTATCGCCACTCTCACCACTGGTCCTGAAGGGATCATCTGTCCTGGACTCCCTGTGATTCCAGTTCCTATCTGTACCAGTGTACATCCTCTGGTCTAGCCATATTTTGCATCATGGTAGTGGGGGGTTGCGGGAGGCTAAGAAGCGTTTAGGAACAAGAGGAAAGTTGTATGTTTCATCATGGCTACACTGCACCCTGACTGGCTTGCCTCCTCCCCGCGACCCTTCTGTAACGGGATGTCCAGCTGCTTACAGATGGGTCTTGGGTCCCCAATCTGCACTCCCCCTCATCCACAATATGATTTTTTTTGTTCTTTGATGCCAGATACCTAATCCCATCGACACCTCGTGATCACACAGGCTGGTGTGCTTCTTCCATGTGGGCTTTGTTGCTTCTGAGCTAGATAGCTGCTTGTTTACCTTCAAGCCTTTTAAGACCCCAGACACTGTATCTTTTGATAGCCGGGCACCATCACCTTTCTTCACCACATTTGCTTATGCACCCATTTGTCTTCAGCAATTGTATCAAGGAGGTGAGCACATAATGAAGGTAAACCTTTTTTTGAACTTGGACATTGGTTTTTCAATTTATATGTGTGTGTGTGTGTGTGTGTGTGTGTGTGTAAAATTGCTAGGTCATAGGGTAGTTCTAGCTCTAGCTTTTGAGTACATGCTATCAGTCTTCCAAAGTAGTTGTCCTATTTTATAATCTCATCAACACTAAATAAGGGTTCCAATTTCCTTATATTCCCCCAAAATTTTTTTCAAGTTTTGATATAATTATCATATAAAATATAATAAATCAATCATATTAAGAAGAGATGTGCAATCATCACATCTGTGCCATTTTAAGTGGGTAACATAGTATCTCATTGTAGCCTTGAGTTGCATCTCTCTAATAACTGATAGTGAATATTTTTTCATGTTTGTGGGCTGCTTAGCCTTCCTCTTTGGTATGTGTTTTGTTTGTGCATTTTGCCTAGTTTATGATTGGTTTTTTGGTGGCTGTGCTGTTGAGTCCCAAGTTGCAGGTTCTTACTTAGAGACTTTATAGATTAAACCTTGATAGCAGTGGTTCAGAACCTTCCTAATGCCACGACCCTTTAACACAATTCCTCATGTTGTGGTGACCCCCAACCATAAAATTATTTTTGTTACTACTTCCTAACTGTAATTTTGCTACTGCTATGAATCAGGTGACCCGTCAAAGGGTCGTTTGACCCCCAAAGGGGTTGCGACCCACAGGTTGAGAACTGCTGCTTTATAGGGTAAGTCATTTCCAAATATTTTTCCCCAGTCTGTGCATTTTCTACTTAATCTTTTAAGTCTTTTGATGAGCATTAAATGCTCCTTTATAGTAAGAGGCCCCAAGTACCTATTAAAGTATTTTCAGTTGTGCTTATCAGTCTATTAATAAAAAAAGTCAAATAGTTTCCTCCCATTTTTTCTTCTAGGAAATTTGTATTTCCAGGTTTCACATTTAGGTTTTGACCTATTTTGAATTGGTTTTTTTGTACGATGTATAGTTCCTGTTTCATTTTTCTGCAAGTGGCTATCTAGCTTCGCCGGCATGATTAATTAAAGACACTTTCTGCCAACATCAGTAGACTTTGATTCCTTGTTAAAAATAAATTGTCATATAAGGGTGGCTCTATTTCTGGATTTTCTATTCCACAGGTCTATGCCTATTGTTGGACCACTATCAGGTGATTTTGAGTGTATCAACTGTATACTATGCTTTGATATCAGGGAGTGTGAGCGCTTCTGCTTCATTCTTTTTCTTCAATGCTTTTTCAGCTATTTGGGGTTTTCTATTTTGAGCATGAACATTGGTTTTTCCATTTTAGTAAAGCATGCTGTTGGCATTTGTATCAGGATTGCATTTTATCTGTAGCTAGCTTTAGGTAGAATGGATATTTTCACTAAATTAAGTCTCCCAATATTAAGCACTGGATATCTTTCTATTTTTATAGGTCATTTTACTCTCTTGTAGTAGTGTTTTATAATTTTTATTGTATGAGAATTTTAATGTCCCCGGGTAGGCTAATTCTTTGGTATTTTATTGATGTGGGAGCTATTA